TCCTGCATGGTTCACAGTGGATACGAGGCTCGGAAGCTTGTCAGTCCATTTGGAGACCCCCCAATGTTTTTCTGCCGAGATGTATTCAGTAGATCTTAACATTGTAGGCAAGCCTGAAGATGACAAGGTAACGGCTTTATTGTCATGAACAGTGTACCCATTCTTGTCTTAAATTCCTTGTTATATTAATTCTGCTCCTAATCTTTGGTATGATGTAACAATTAACATAAACTTTTATGCAACTATATGCTGTTTACTGTTGGCTATAATTGATGTCAAGTCTATACAAATGTCAAATAATTTATCTCAATGGGACCCATTTCCACATAACCATCTTCCTATCTTAGTCCTGTATTCTTGCTTAATCTGAAATGATTCCTGTTATAGTTCCTAGTATTAGTATCATGGACATGGAAGTATTTAAGTGTTATATTATATGTCTGTTGAACTGACATTGGCTGAGTTCTATTATGCACTTCTATATTTTTGAGAAATATGTGATTCATAAATGATATAATGAGAATGTTTTCAGGAGTTTGCTGTCAACAATCTAAACCAATGCCTGCTATTCTGCAGGTTAATTTGGCTCGAGAAACCCTTAAAGGGCTATTGGCTCATTGGTTGAGAAAACGAAAGCAAAAAACAGGATCCCCAGCTCCGGCTAATGGGGAGTTATCATCTGGAAAGGATATTGCTTCTCGAAGTCTTACCCATTCAAGGATCGAGGTTGATGGTAGTTCTGAGAATGATGCTATGGTTTATCCTCCGTTTGAATTCTCAGTTACTTCCCCTCCTTCCATTATTACCGAGGGCACACATGGAGGTCCGTGGAGAAAAAAAATTACTGATTTAGATGGAACCAAGGATGAAAAAGACTTCCCCTGGTGGTGTCTGGACTGTGTTTTGAATAATCGCTTACCTCCCAGAGAAAATACCAAGTAATTTTGCCTTCCTTATTTTCCCTCCCTAAATAGTTGCATTAAAACACGTTTGTATATTTTGTTAATTTAGCATAATTGCCTAACTCTGATGATTATATCCATTAATCACATACAAAAATATGGTGGTACTTAACATTGCCTTTGTAAGTGACATCAATTGATATATGGTTAAGAAGTCTTAGGAAAATATCTTCCTATTAATTCTGAGATATCTGTTGCTTGGTATTATTGTGTACTGAACATGATATATTTTAACATTTTTTGTACTTTTGATGCTTATTGCCATGAAAATATTAAATTATTTTTCTTTTATATATATCAATTATCAAATGGAACAATGTCTATGAATTTGATTGTCTGAGTATGATGGCAATCTCATACTAGAAATATAATGCTCTTGTTGATATATATTCTTTTGTTAACCGCTGCAGATGCAGTTTCTATTTGCAACCATGTGAAGGCTCTTCCGTCCAGATCCTCACACAAGGGAAGCTAAGTGCCCCACGCATATTAAGAATTCACAAAGTAAGTTTTGGTATTTATATTAAGTGACAATTGGTATTTATAATCTTTGTATATGCTGTGCTTTTAAGTTGTCGTTGGTCATGTATTTTAAAAATATTACTTTTTTTGAATTTAGTTTTTAGTTTTTGTTATGGATTCTGTAAACATTTTTCCCACTGGTAGATGATGCATTTTTGAATGATCAACTTAGCTTTCCCTTCTTTTGGTTGGTTTAGGTTATTAATTATGTAATAGAGAAGATGGTGCTTGACAAACCTTTGGATAGCTTGAGTGCTGATGGCAGTTTTGCCCCTGGACTTTCTGGATCACAATCACAGCATCAGGCTGTTGGGGATGTATCTTTTAGATCTGGATTTAAGCCTTGGCAAAAGCTTAGACCTTCTATTGAAATATTGTGCAACAACCAGGCAAGTAATATGTTGTCTTGCATGCAATCTTGTGACGGTGTATTTAGTATGGTTTTCTAGATGCTGAGATTGAGAAAGTTCATGCTTTATTTTCCTATTTTTGGCTTGCTTTTCAATCCCTTTGTATGCCTTCTAGAATCTATTTGCTAACCTGATTGCCATTTTTAGAGGTAGTAAATGGTGTTTTCTGGAAGTCATTGAAGAAATCATATATCCTTAGAATTATGTACTGTGCACGTTGGTTTGTAATTGTATTTACAATGTTACAACTTTGACTGTCTTCTAGAGTCCATGATGTGGGATTGTTAGAGATATAATTTATTCTCTGTGTAGTCTTTATTCTATACTCACGTAATCTTTAGTTTCTATTGGTCAATTATAACCGACACCTGTATAGTGATGATCCTCTGGTCTATATATACCTGTTTACGTAAACTCATTAAAGTCTTGTAAACTTGTAAGAATTTACTTAATATAAAAAATATATTAAAATACTTATAAATAACATAATAACTTAACATTTGAACTCCATATTAAAGTAAAATAGTAAATTACAATAATAAAGTAACAAATTTTAGCAACAAATCATGCATAATTTCACACAAGATATAAGTTCTTAAAATGACAGCAAACAAAACATTAGAAAAAAGACTAATATCTTCAAATTTCCATGTTTAATCCTCTAATAATATCATCTCCAAAATGGGATGCGAAGAAGAGAGAAAATACAGAGAAGGGAAATGGGAAAGAACCTTCATGAGAACCCTGAAAACATGACGCCATGACGGGAATGACCCCGGAACAGGGGACGCCGACCAGTGGCGAGCAAGCCCTGACACCGATGAACAGACCAGCATCGACTGGAGAGCAATCCACAGAGAACTCGACCCTGACCAGAGAACAGGGGATGCCGACGAACAAACCAGCAGTGAGCAAGCCTCGATGCTGACGAACTGATCCCAGCGGGCAGGTTTTGGGTTGGCTTTCAGCAGTTGAGACTTGAGAGATAAATGCGAATCATGGGAAGAAAAGCAAACCTAAATTGAAACGCAGGTTTCAGTGTGGTCTTGGGGATTTTTTAAGTGACTAGTGTAGAAATGCAAAATCATGACAAACTCCGGATTTTGGTCAAGTTTGTGCAAGTTTGCTCGAGTTCATACAAATTTAGTAGAAAATGAGTTTGCTTAAGAGTTGAGTAGGTTGAGCCTCCTAGACTCATAAAATTTTGACAACCATGCCTATTGTAACATAGACTCATCGCTGAAGTACGTTCAGATCTGATCAATAAAACATTACACAGTTTTCTCTCTCTGATTCTTCAATATGGTATCTAGAGCAAGCTGATCCTCCCATGGCTTCCGAAAACCCTAACTTCACTTCTCACATTCCTCCTCCTCCTCTGCTGGAAACTCTGATTCACGCCACACCATTACACTCACATACTTAGGCATCAGACAAATTGCAGTTCTCACTCCTGTGCAAGCTTCAATCACATTTTCTCATCAAATGACTTAAAAACTTGATGACAAGAACTTTTTGTCGTTGTGCCAACAGATTGAGCCCGTGATAAAGGCTCATTGTCTTCATCACCATGTACTAGCTCCTCACATTCCCCTGCAGTTTCTTTCCAAACAAGATCATGATCTCAATCATGTCAATCCTGATTATCTTGCTTGGGAACAGCAAGATCAGATGCTTCACGCTTGGCTTCAGTTGTCCTTGTCTAGTGTGATTGTGTCACATGTTCTTGGCTCTGTTCATTCCTATCAGGTTTGGGAGAAAACTCACTCCCCTACTTTCATCATTAGACTTGCAGAAAGCTTGTCAGCTCTGTTTGGAGTTGTGGAATTCTTCTTTGGATAATTGCACCATCACTGAATTTCTACAAAGCATCAAGGAACTGGTTGATTTGCTTTTTCAGTTAGTGATCTGGATTCATCAAAGGTCTAGCTCAGGAATGTCTCAGTTGTTGCAATGATTAAGAGCTGGTCTGATGTGATCACCATGAAAGAAGCTGAAGGGTTTGATTCTAGCACATAAATTGTGCTTACAGAAGTACCACAAGAAAAAATCTTCTGATTTGACCCTTTTATCCCTCTATTAATGTTGCTCAATGATTTGCAATCGCATCATACTGCCACTGACCAAAACCGTATGACAAAATTTGGTCACTAACTTTGAATATGGTTTAAATATTGTTGGTTTAATTATCCCAAATATCAGTGCAATATTACTTGTATGTTTATACCTAGGATTTCTTTTAGCAGTGGCATTATTTGTCACGTTGGATGTTATCTTCACTGGATATCATAAACTGAAAATGAGATTAGAAAAGATTGTCTTCACACTTATTCTTAATCTATTGGTAGGCCCTTGATTATAAAATTCAATTCCAGATATTAGACACTCTTAATTGAGGCTTTTGACTACTGTATTTAAGTCTTGAAATAGATCATAGTACTTGTATTTTTTATCTGTAGTCATAGTTGTTCTTGCATGTTACCAACTTGCTTTTCAATTTCACGTGTTTTAATCAAGTTTTGAACTTGTTACTCTTTTGATTGATTTGAGGATGACAGCATATTTTTTTCAATAATGTTTGGCCCAAATTGGTTGAATATTGTTTTATTTTATTTACGGTTGGCTTTGCTTTGGTTTGGTACTATTTTTCATTAAATTAATGTGCATTTAGTCAACTGTTCGGTTTATTTCCAGGTGCTGTCTCCTGAAATGAGCTTAGCCACGGTGCGAACTTATATATGGAAGAAACCAGATGACTTGGTTCTAAATTACAGACTAGTTCAAGGCAGGTGACTACAAATTGCTCAAGCATCAGAGGTGGGTAGTTTTTAGCCTTGACTGGCTTCTCTGAGCTACAATAAGATATTTGATGCTTGTATGGACTTTCATTCCTGCATTTTTCTTATTTTGTAAATGTAATTTACTACCAACTGGAATAGGTATTTTAGGATTATATTTCATTTTTTGATTGATGTGAATGCTGATTAAAGTAATCTTTGTTGATAAAGCCTGATCTTTATTAATAATTTGTTTTCTCTCAGCATCACCTAGTGGGATAATTGTTGTTGATTTCATGCTGAAATTACTCCCTTTTTATCATGCTCCATTCTTATCGAGCGTGAGTGTATATATATATATATATATTATTTATTTATTTATTTATGCTGTCTCAGCAAGGATTGCTGACTTGATTATGAATTATGATTAATACTTGCAGGTTTTCTTGTGATTATGTAAAATACTTCTGAGCACCGATTCATCTTGGGTTGCCTGCATTGATCAGTGGTACTATAGGAATTTGTAAATTCTGAGCCGTCATTTATCACCAAATTTAGTGACTTTATTCAAACCTAAACCTGGTTGGATAGTTTTTTCTTTAGTGGAGAGCTGTTACTGTAAATTTTGAACTATATCTAGCTGGCGTGCATACTTCTGCTGGAAATGGCGGAATCATCTGCATTTGGCATGATGAAGGTTTTTTTTATTATCAACTTTCTTGAGAATTAGTGGGAATCATACTGGCATAGTGGGATGGGTGATTTTGAGGAATCAGGTAGTTGATTTAGAGATGACAAAGAAAACATTGTAAATTTGAATTGTGCTTTAAATATCTGGCCATAGAAATTATGTTGTCCAGGTGCATGTTTACATCATAAAATTTTGTTAATTGCTAATAATATTATTCTCATTTGTTCAAATTATCCAGTGCCTCTTCTCGGCTAACACTGTATTTGGAACCTGTATTCTTACCTTGCCAGTGGGTGGGTATTCAATATCCAATTCTGAAAGTGCCAAATGTTAATTAGGCATATTGAACTTGTTGAAGTTGTGACGGTATTTATTGTAGCTATAGCTTTATTGGCTTTGTGATTTGTATTTAATTAATAGAATGTTGTAACTGATTATCGTGCCGCTGTATTTTAATTTTTTTTTTAGTGTATGTTTGGTGAGCCAGTAAATATTTATTGGTATTTCTGCCGGCCTTCGTGTATGGTTTCATAGCCTGTCTTTCAGTCTAGGTAAATAATGAGGATCGAAGAGTCTTCGACAGTATACGTAAATTTCGTCGATATACTAAATAAGAATCATTAACGGCAAAGTTTTGCTAATGTTCGGTCATTATCTTGAAGTAATCTCTTGTATGGCTGAAGTACGGTTCTAAATGACCTAGAATTGACTTCTAGATGTTATGATATTTGAAGATCTAATGTGCTTAATTGAAACTTTGGAGAACCAAAATGCATTTTATTGTCATTTAATTACTTTTTGCTTTTGAGTAATAGTCTTTTCCCCTTTCCTTTTAGGACAAAATTTTAATTAAATATTACGGTACTTAGGTGTCATTCTTTAATTAAAGTCCAAGTTTCAAAACTAAGATGAGAATTTTGGAGAATTTAAAATTCTTGAAATTTGAATTATATTGATTAATTTTTTTTATTAAATATTTATTTAGATAAGTTGATTTGAATTTCTTAAATTATTAACAAATCAATTTAATTTTCATCTATGTAAAATTATTTTTAAATATATATATATATAAATTAAAATTTAAATAATAACTTTTATGAAAATAAATATTAGATATTTTTAAAATAACTAATAATTTTTTTATTATACAATATTAAATGATAAAAAAATAATATTATCACTCTTCCACTCGAGAGATTTTTTTTTATTCATTTCATTCTTATTTTATTTATCTATAGTGTATTTTCTTCTATTTGTTTCTCTTGTTTTTTGTTTTTTTTAACCTTTCTATTTCACTTAAATCTAAATAAAGTAAGTTTTGGAGATGCAAACCCTGCAATGTTCCGCATGAAAATGTTTGAGCATGAACTAAAAATATTTCAAATTTAGTTAACACAAAAAATCACAATTTCAAAAATAATTTCATATAATATAAATTAAAGCAATGTATATAATATACATGTTAAACCAATTAAGATTTGAAAGGAAAAACATTTGATATATATAAGCATGTTGCTTAATTATTATAAATGTAAACCAAATGATATTATTTGTTTATTTTTAGCATGGCTATATTAATGCGTTTTTCCTTTTTTTTTTTTTTCCTTTCTCTTCTAATTATGGATTTATTTCTTTTTAATTAGATCGGTTGATTTGTATGGGATTGCAAAATTTTGTATAGACCGGTATACAGTAAGATAAAGTCACATTCAATACACATTTTTTTTATAATTATAAACGACTAGAGAAATTAACCCACTAACACACTAGATAAGTCCTGTGGTCTAAAATTTAGGTAATTTACGTAAAGTCATAAATTTTAACTTCATTTCAATTATTTAAAAAAATATACAAATTGGCATGTAAAGTATATAAATTCAACAATTTTATCGACAAAAATTCTTCTTGCAGTTGATTTAAAATAAAGTTAAAAATAAGTCGGATTAAGTCAAATTCAATTTAATTTGATATTGTCAGATAACATTTAATTTTAACATTAACTTTTTTTTAAGCTCGATTTTAATTCATTCAAATTTGTTAGTAGCTTGATTCAGCTCGTTAACTCAAGTTTCATAAGTAAAAGCTCAATTTTTTAAATTTTATACATTTCAAAATTTTAATTTAATAATAGATTTTAGATAAAATAATTTTTTTTTTAGAAAAACAAAACATAATTTATTCTATTAATTTTACAAAATTATAATGCACAACTTTAAAGAAACATGATTACACCTGAAGTTTATATAAATTAAAACTACTACATCTTACATAAAATGATAAAAAATCTAATCTATAACTATGAAATTTTAAAGTGTTCATTTCTTCTCTAATCATTAACTTATAACTAAGCTTTAAAAGTTTGTTCAAATTTTAATAAGTTAAAATTAAAAAGAAATTTAATTATATTTATATGTTAAGCTGATTTATGAATTAAATAAATCGAATTATATGTAACTCGAATTTGACTCATTTATTTATCAAACTCAATCTTTAACTTAAATTAAACTCATTTGATTCATGATTCATGAATTAAGTTCAACAAATTAATTATTAAATCAAATTTTAAACTATTTTTAAGTTAATTCGATTTATTTTCATTCTTAATTCTAAATAAAAACTTATCTAACACATCGTGTCGCATCCTTTTCCAAACATGCTAAAAAAAATTTGTGGTCACACAAACAATTTTTTTTTAAAACTAGAACTTAGTTTATGTTTTGTTTTATTTAAGTATTTTTTTTTTAAAATGAACTAAACCTTTATATTAAACCGTTTAGGTCAAGTTAGAACTTAATCAAATGAGACCGAAAGTCTGAACAAGTCACCCAACCTTAGATATTTGCGCAACCGAACCTTAGTAATGAAAATGAAATGAAAACAACTGGAAGGAATAGTAGCATAGCCCAATCAACCTTAAACATAAAAAAAAATATGCTTTTAGCGTGTTGCGATAAATAATTAATTGTTAGGAAACTAATAAATAAAATATTGTTAAAAGTTATAATAAAATATACTTAAAATTTATGATAAAGTTGTATTAATAATATATTTTGATAAAAAAATAATTTCATCTCTTAATTAAAATTTCAAATTACTATATCTTCTTTAATTGTTTTAACCATCAAATTAAATCACTAATTGAAAAATAAAAAATATTAAATATTTTCCTTTTATTGAAAATACTCTGATTATTTTTTTTAAGGAATTAATTAGTAAAATATTTTCATTATTTTTTTTAAAAGAGATATAACTTAAATACATCATTCTATGTATTATTAATTAATTTTATAATCAAAATTGATATTCTTTTATATAATTATTACTGTCTTTATAGAATTTAATATTAAAGAATTAGCAATAAATCTTCTTGGACCAATCAAAAAATTTCAAATTTACTTTTAAAATATCATATTTATCTACAAAAATCAATCCTTTTAAATTAAGGGTGTGTTTGCTTTCACTCTTTGTCAACTTGAACGTAATTTAGAAAAATAATTATTAGTTGTTTTTAGTGCGTTATAACATAAAAGTATAAAAATGTTAGAAAGCGTGGATCACAAACGTAGTACCAAACAAGTACTAAAATATGCACGTTTTAGTAATTTAAAATATAGTTCAGACAAAATTTATGTGTTTGATATTAATTTTTTAATATAATTTTTATTATCTTCACGTTCAAATATTTGATTTACGTAAAAGTTAGGATTTATGGTTTCAAATTGGACGTAAAAAATCAGATTAAGACTGCAAACACATACTTTGACTGATAGAGTCCACAAAAGTTGAAAGTGTGTGCTTTTGATTCGTTCCAAGGCCAGTTTCCACTAATGGTACAGTTTCTCAACATGTATACAAGTTCTTTAAAGGTGAAACTGCAAAAATACAAAAAGCAAACATCGACAAAATTGTATAGGAAGATTTTTTCTTTCTTTCAAATCAACAAGTATTCTCAGTTAAAAGTGGAGACAAATCTCCTTCAAATTTTGATAAACATCTCTCTCAATTTAGGTTTTCTCCATAAACGCAAAAGTCAGATTGGTACCCTACTTTGTTAAGCAACAAGTAGCAAAATTAGTTACAGCTTCTATTCTCAACCTTTCATTTAAAAAAAAAAAATAGGATTTCCACAATCTTTACGTTTTAAAATTATTAATTTCTTGTCTTCTTCTGAGAATATTATTGGGTGCATAAAAAAAAACCTCTAAATAATAAATATTCAATGTATTTTATCAACTTTTTTTTTAAAAATAAAACATTAAATAGTTTTATATTTGACATAGTCCACATTTTTATAAACATTTTTTATCTTGGGAAATATTTAATATATATGATTAATAACTTTAATTGTTTATTCAATATAATAAATATTTATTAATATTAAAAATGTGGTAAAATTGAAAAGACTCATTATTTTAAAATTCCGCTTAAATATCTTTTTGGTTCATGAAATATACCTGTTTTTTTTTTTCTTAACTTTTTGAATTTTTTAAAATTTTAGTTCCTGTTGTGACTTTTTGTTGTTGTTGATTATTTTAGATAATGTGTCAAATATTAAATGACTTAAATAGTAAAAAAAAAAAACCTACGACAAACAAAGGATTAAAAAAATGACTACTTTATTTTATAAGAATTAAAAGTTAGTTGAAAGAAGATAAGGTAGATAAAAAATTATATTTAAGGGTGGAAAATATAATATTAAAGATGGTGTTTTGAGAAGAATAATTGTGATCCTTCCATTCGCGTGTTTGGCTTCATTTTCGCTTCAACGCTGCAGTGCACACAAAACATGTGATTCTCACACAGCCACATGCAAACAAGGACAGCGTGTGTTCCGTGACTCTGTAACTTCTCCGAGTCTTCTTCACTTCAACTTCAACCTCTCTTCCATGGCCTCCGTCACGGCTTTTCTAGCCTCACCCGTCGGTGCCCGCTTCGCAGTGCGGGCGACCCTGGACGGTGGAGCCTCCACGGTGGCAGCGGTGAGCGGAGCCTCCGTGTTGGTGAAGGAGGAGGCGAAGGTGCGGTTGTTGCGCGTTGAAGAGAAGAAACAACGTTTGGCACCTCTTTGGGATGATGGATATGGGAGAAGGAGCGTGCAGGATTACTTTGTTGCTGCTAAGGACATGTGTTTATCCGATGGGGGCCCACCGAGGTGGTTTTGCCCCGTCGAATGTGGGCCTCCTTTCAAGGATTCTCCCACTCTTCTGTTCTTGCCTGGTAATCAACACTCGCATTCATTTGTTGTGTAGATTTGAATTACTCCCTCTACTTTTTAGTTTTGCACAAGAATTAAGAAAATGATTGAAATTTTAATTTTTAAAAATATTTATTACTTGTTTTTCTATTTTATCCTTTATTTTTTTATAAATATTTTATTTAAAATATATTATCCTTTTAAATGTAACATTAACTTTACATAAGTAATTAGAGAAAAAATAGGTAGATATTAGAAATAAATAGACACATTATTCAGTAAACACACATTAATTATCAAGGATAAAAAAAAGAAAAAAAAATTAATAAGTTATCGATTTTAGTAAAATAATAATGAAAAAAATGACAAATTCTGACAAAACTGACTATGAATAAAAAACGAAGAGAGTAAGAGAATCTGTCATGTGTGTGTGTGTTTGTTTTTTTTATTATTATCCATGGAAATGGTCCACAAGTGTGGCACAACTTCCCTGTGTTCCAACTACCTAGGACCTAGGATCTAACCTCCTTCTTTGTTTTATATCCTTCCCATGCGGATTTAAGCCAGAATGAGTAGAACATCTCTAATTTCACTAGAAATTCTCAAAAAAGTTGGTAACTGACTCTGACCTTGCATGGAGTCGTGCTTTATACTAATCTGTCTTTGGCTGGCCAAGCGTGTGTATGTGTGTGAGGTTGATTGTTATTTTATGTTGAACAATTGAATAAACCATCAAGTTGGTGCCTAAAGTATTACTCTCGCTTTTAATTGGTCCCTAAAGTAATAAAACTACGCAACATGCAAGGTGTCCCTCAAGCATTGCATGGTCTTTGAGTTGATATATTTTAAAATATTTAGGGACTAATTTAAAGGGTTTTCCATACTTTGAGGACTATTTAGCATGATTTATTGTAATACAGGAGGAATTACTTATATAGTTTTTTTCCCCCTCTTTAAGAACTGTTTAGGAGAAAGGATAATAGTTTAAGGATGAAATCGATGGTTTATTCGTAAACAATTAATTGGGTTGGGCATTGCAACTTGTGTTACTTTGGTCCCTGCAGGCTGCAGGTCTATTATGTAAATTTGTCCGCAAGAGTGTGTGAATGAGTATTTAGTGCATGTTTGGATTAAAGTTAGCAAATTAAGTCTGAATGAACTTTATTTTTTAAACAGAGCTTGCAAAAGTAACCCTCCCTTTCCTTCCGTTTCAAACTGAGTTTCAAGGAAAATTTGAGTTAAAATCCAGTTTACAATCAGATTCAAATGAAAATTAAATACGGGTTTTTTCAATTTTAGTTTATGAAAGTACTTTAGGGGTCTTCCAACTAAAAACCAAACGTGTGCTTGAAAACAATTTCATCCTCAAAGTCAAAGGCTGATTTGTGTAGATAAAGAGCTCAAGTTGCTACTTTTAGGCACCAAATTGAAATTGTGTATTAACTTTTGATGTTATTATATTTAATGTTAAAATTAAACATGCTGGAATTCCTTAACTCGTGCAGGGATGGATGGCACCGGATTGGGTCTCACTTTGCACCATCAAGCTCTTGGGAAGTATGTTGTATTTTTTGTACTTGAATAGCTAGTATTTTTTTTTTTTTGCATAAAATGTTATTTTTTTTAGCACATGTTAGGTCTGCAAGATTAGAATCAGGATTTTAAAATTGTGTGTCTGAGCCACATTAGTCAGTTTTACAATGGCCTGAGTATTTTTGGCATTGACAGTTCTAGTTGAAGGTTAATGGAAATACTTAAGCTTGTTTATGAAATATGCTAGTTGCATTGTTTAGAAAAATTATTTTGTGTAGGCTCATACAATTTTACTTTGCTTTCTCTTTTCATCTTTACCTTTTGCAATACAGGGCTTTTGAAGTTCGATGCTTGCATATTCCGGTTCATGATCGAACACCATTTGAAGGTTTTCCTTTTAATGTATGCTTTTGTTAACTTTTGAAAATTCTTCTGTGTTGCTGTTGATGCAATTAAATAATAGTAGCTTGTAACTGTTCCTAGCAAGTAGGAACTTTGTCTGACAGGAAAGGAAAGAAAATATTGCAAGTAAATGTTTTGAAAGTTCTTCTGTGTTGCTGTTGATGCATTTTAATGATAGTAACTTGTAACTGTTCCTAGCAAGTAGGAACTTTGTTTGTGACAGGAAAGAAATTATTGTGAATCAATGTTTTTGTGCATTGAAATATTTATTGGGGAGTAATCAACAGTGCTTTTTCTCAATTATTGCATGCTTTTAATATTTGAGAAATTCCTTCTCATTGGAGGGATTTCTTCTTCCTCCTTCTCCTCCCACCCCCTCTATCCAAAACACTTTCTATGCTCTAGAACAGATTGAACTGTGAAATTCTTGATAACTTTGTACTGACTCTTAGATTTTCTATCTTAATTAATTCTAAATCAAAACCATGATTGATTAACAAATGGCTAAGTAATCATTCAGATTCCTGCTATCTGCAAGTAATCTTAAAAAATATTAGAAAAAATAATCAACCATTGACGTTATGCATTTTATGTAAGCTGTATATAGCATGCCTTGCACAATCCACAAACTTCAAATAATCTTCATTTGGCATCTGATTTGTCTCAGAATGCAAAATGATTTCACTTGCAATGCATTTTTGTATGTCAGGAACCAACAGGTTCTATAGAAAATTATTTATGAATTTGGATTTCAAATTTCTTGTTAGATTAGTGTATAATAATTGGAAGATAATATAGGCTTCTATTCTAATATATCCGGTATTCGTCCATATCTGATTGGCTTAGCTCTTCAGAACAATTGTTGTCGAATATATTGGCAGACCATTCGGTGCATGCTTAGATCAGCTTCTTTTGTGTTTAAAGTAGTCTATAATCAAAATCTTCTTAAAAGGACTCTGAAAGACGGGTTTTTCCCAAAAAATTAAGAAAACCTTAACATGCTCTTGACTCTAAAATTTTATAACTGAATCAATTCCAATCTGCTAGTGATAACTGTTTGGTGCCATTATCTAGTCTTAAACTGATTGTTTTCCTTTTTTTTATTTTTTATTTTCAAAGGCTTGGTGAAACTTGTTGAAGAAGCTGTTAAGTTTGAATATGCTTTGTCTCCAAATAAACCAATCTATCTGGTTGGTGATTCTTTTGGTGGATGTCTAGCACTTGCTGTTGCTGCTCGAAATCCAACAGTTGACCTAGTACTGATATTAGCCAATCCAGGTGAGTCTGTTAATGCTGTATTCTTGTTTGTCAAATTTGTTAATGTATTTAGTTGGTGATGTTTTGTCAATTTTCAACTAAAATCTGACAATATACTTTTCAATCGTAGCTACATCGTTTGGCCAATCTCAGTTGCAACCTTTGTTTCCTATTGTGGAATCTTTGCCTGATGAACTGCATGTTGCTGTTCCCTTTCTTCTTAGTTTTATTATGGGTAAATAATCTTCTTTCTTAATATTGTAGCTGTTATATTTGCATTTTCATGAAGATATAATTCATTTGCAAATTCTTTCTTATTCTATATCTTGTGGATTATGCCAAAGAAATAAGTACATCTATTAAAAAAGGAATTTCATAGAATGTGAGGGATTGAATTTTATTCAACAACTCAAGATATCCGAGTACATGTGATGATATATACACTAATGTAGCACATTGCTAGGCGGATAACAACCAAAATGGAGAACAAAAAGACCTAATCCCCAAGTTCTGGTACAACAGAATGAGTGCTCAACAGGATATTTTGATATCAGTATCATCATAAACTTGCTGATCTTTATCTTATCTCTTATTAATTCGTATACATTGTTGTATAATTTAATGACATCAGGTGATCCAGTGAAGATGGCATCAGTCAATGTCGGAAATAGGCTTCCTCCTGCCAAAAAATTTGAACAATTGTCATACAACCTTACTGCATTGCTGCCGTGTCTTCCTGTAAGAAGCTTTTGATATTCTATCCTTTGGCCTCTGTGTGTGTTCTTTTTCTCAATATTCATGGCTATATTGTATTTAATTCTAGTTAATTGACAAAAGTTACAAGCTTTTGGCTTGGACTTGGCTCCTAAAAATTTTGGTAACACACTCAATTATGAAATTTTTTCTTTCACCTTGTTGGTAATCCTTACAATTGTACGAGTAGCCATCTTATTTTCTAGATTTTAGTAGTATCTGTCTTTTTCCTCAATCCCTTTTCCTTGTTTTATTTTCTTGACAAATTCTTAAAGTTCATATAATATGGGATTATGTTAAGCTAATATGAATTATACTGTATTATCTATTGTCAGGAGCTGGCTAATATTATACCAAGGGATACTCTTCTTTGGAAGCTGAAACTTCTCAAATCAGCTGCTGCATATGCTAATTCACGTCTTCATGCTGTTAGAGCTGAAGTACTTGTGCTTGCTAGGTTTTTACTATCTCTAGACTTGACGCCTCTAATGATAATATTGTGTGTACAATTTTGTTTTTCATCATACTTCCAAAAGGTTCTTTTAATTACCTCACAAATCTAATTTGTACTTGCAATACAGAATATTATGGCTTTGTTTGATCCATGTAGCCAACCCCACCTAATGGAAAGAGTAGAGTTGGTAAATTGGGCTAGAATGTGAAAACAAGCTGGGCTGAGCTAGCCCGAATTTTTCTTGTCTGAGAGTTTAATGGCCCGGCCTAACCTTATACAGGGCAGCAGGCCAAATCAACCATAAAAATAAATAAAAATAATAGTTTTAAACATGTTTAATATCTAAAATTCTCAGTTATATAAATATACAAAAAAGAAAAGTGGCTAAGAGGGTCGAGCTAAATAGGCCCAGTTTATTTTCAGTCTCTTTTCTTTTTTATTTTAAGCCCAATTTAGCCCAGTTTTTTCAGGCCTTTATGTATGGTCTTGATACACACAACGCCCCCACACACAGACACTCATATATATTTGACATGGTCAAATGATACACGAGAGCTTTTATTTTAACTTAAACTTACTGTTTTTTAACTTAGGCTCGTACTTGTCGATAATGTTGTGTATGACTTTGGCATTTTCTCACTCCAATTTTGACACTCTCGTGTTCATATAGTTAAAATGTATAGGTTATTTTCTAGTTAATATTCTCAATTGGGTGTTGAGAATTGAGATTGACAAAGTTTCCATTCTAGTGGTAAGGATAACATGCTTCCCAGCGAGAATGAAGCTCGAAGACTCGCAGGATTACTGCAAAACTGCAAAGTTCGTAACTTTAAGGACAGTGGACACACCCTTCTCCTGGTACGTGAAATGAATATATATACTTGCAACTATCATCAATAAAGTTGTGGGATATTTTCAAGCCAACATGTTTGTAACTTACAATTTTGACATCCATTCGAGATTGAATGATCAAGATTAGTCCCTTCCACCTTTTATAATTAGATAATGCTCTCACTTCATAACCCTACACAAGGGGTGTGTCACGTGAGACTATTTGCAACTATCATCATATCAATAAAGTCGTGGGATATCTTCAAGTTAACAAGTAACTTGTAAATTGACCATCTATTTAAGATTGTATGGAGAAGATTAGTTTCTTCCACCTTTTATAACAAGATAATGCTCTCACTTGATGACCCATTAGTTAAGTAAGACCATTGCATTACATCATATTACACTAGTTACGTGTGGTTGTGCACCACATTTAGAAGTTGTTTTGCAGTATGAGAATACTACATGTTCTAGTAAGAACATGACAAAACTACTGTAGCTCTGGTAGCTTATTAGAAAATTTGCTCATTTTAGAGGATCTAAATCTGTGTAGTTTTTTCAACATATTTAAATTTTACATGTACACTCTTAACTTTTATAATAGATAAAATCTTCAATTTGGTCCTTCAAAAGTTACATGATTCACTACATTAGTCATTAAAAAATTCTGGTCACCAAATTAGTCACTTTAACATTTAATTTATTAGTCCCCTAAAGATTTTGTCACTAAATTAATCCCTTAAAGATTTAATTTATCACCATTTTAGTCGTTATGAAGGACATAAGGACTGAAATGGTGACATAAAGAATTTTTAAGGGGCTAATTTGGTGACATTAAATCTTTGAAGGGTTAATTTGATGACACAATCTTGGGAGGACTAAAGTAGTAATGATTTTTTTTTTGAGGCACCAATTTGGTGAACAAAATTTCTGGAGGACTAATGTGGGGTGTAGACACCAGGTTTTCTTCGAGGTTTATCTGCAAGGGTCAAGAAGCTTCTAAGACGAGAGAAGCAACCTCCTGAAGCCGAGGAAGACACAGAAGTAAGCCAAAACGGAATACAGGACATCCAGGAAGCTCTTCTGCACCAAAAGGGTCAAAAACCTTGATCTAAGCTCTTCTGCACCAAAACGGAACATAGGACATTCCCTCTTTACAGTTTGCTTGGCCTGGAACGACCATTCTTGCTTGCATAAGGGAGTGCATTTTCCAGGCGTGGAACGACCGTTCCAAAATTGGGAACAGCCATTCCCCTTCCCAGGTGCCTATAAATGCGTGTCATGGGCTCCACACTTCACACACCTCATTCTCTCTCCCCCTGACTCTTTTCAGGACACTCTGAGTAAAAAACTCATTCCAATGCCTGCTTAAGAGATCTCTAGTCCTTTTGGCAGAGGTTTCGGAGTTCCCAATTAAAAGTTTTTCTTAAGCGCTAGAGAGGTTCTTGTAGCGCGAGGAGGTTGCCAAAAAGTGCCCCTGTACGGTTTTACGAGATGAGAAATATAAAACTTCCTTCAGAGGTTTCAATCTCTTTCTCCTTATTTATTGTTTGTATGCTTAGGCTAGTCATCATGTAGACAATAAGGCAATATATAGTAGATTAGGAATAATGTAGAAATAAATAGCCATGTATGTTTAATAAATAAAGGGCTAAAAGCTTAATTGCATTGTTATAATGCTGGAATTGTCATAGGGTACCAAGATCAGGTGCTATGGGGTGCCTAACACCTTCTCCACACATAACCGACTCCTGAACCTCACTCTGGCTGTGAAGGCCAAAGTCGAATTTGGGAAAACAATTTTCTTTTTTCAATGTTTTATGTAAAATATTAGTGGCAACTCCTTCAAACCATTTTCAAAACCATTGGACAGAGGATTAATTCAGTCTTCGAACAATCTGAAGTTGATGAGATTTTTCAAACGGAGGTCCAAACCATCTGTTGACTAATGTTGGGAATTTTCCTTTCGGGTTCCAACATGGGGGATGCATGTAACTTTGAAGCACCATATTGAGGCTTTTCTCTTTATAGTATGCACTTTAATGGCTTTTTTAAAGCCTTTTTTTTTTTTTTTCCTTCTTATATGCTTTTGAAATTGTAAGTTTAACTTATATTGTGAATTTTTTTTCTTCAATATTTTATGAAATTATCTTTTTATTACTTTCAGGTAAAATAAGAAAAGAATCTTATTATGACAAATACTATAAAGAACAATTTTAATTTTGATACTCATCCATGGCCCGGTAGGCAAACAAAAGGATGTGTATTTTATTTTTTGTTATTACTTTCTGAGTTTCTGCATAACTTTTTCCATGGTCCTTTGCATTATGGGATGAACTTACTCACCATGTTATATTGTCGTTTTAAGTTTAACAATATTAGTTGTCGTTTTCAGTGATAACAACTCAACTCTATCTTCGTTGATTAATTGTATTTTATTTGTTGCTATTACTTTCTCCATAACTTTTGCCATGGCCCTTTGCATTATGGGATAAACTCACTAGCCATGTTATATTGCTGTTTCAAGTTTAACAATATTAGTTGCCGTTTTCAGTGATAACAACTCAGTTCTATCTTAGTTGATTAATTGTATTTTATGTGGTAGTGCAGGAAGATGGTATTGGTCTGCTGACAATCATCAAGGGAACTTGCATGTATCGTCATTCAAGAATGCATGATTTGGTCAGGGATTTCATTCCTCCCAGTATGACAGAATATAGATATGCAATGGATCAAGTTGTTGGGTAATTTGATTTGGCAATATTAAGCTCATTGCGTATTGTTCTTCTCGTTAGAAATCTGCTAGTTAATGTCATTGTTGCATTGATGGGTAGGGGAGGGGGTAGGGGTGAGATTTATACTCTTAGCATTTTCACAAAAACAAGAACAGATCCTTTTTGAACCAGTTGTCATGCCTTTTTCTCAATTATAAACTTCAAAGTTCACGTTAGTGGGGTTTGAAGTTGGAGCCTGCCTCTTGAAAGAGGACACAAGCATCCCACCATTGTGCCAGTCAATGTGCCTTTTGTTATCTATCACTCTTGAATGAAAGGACTTTGAGGATCTACTCCCTTTGTAAGGCACATAGTTTTTCCTGCATCAAGTTATCTCTCTTTTTTTATTTATTTTTTATTTTTTTGCTCGAATACTTTCACTTAAATTTAGTCAATTTGAATTTTGACACACCATATTGAATTGATTGACATGTAGATTATGTGTCTTGATTCAAATAATTTATTTCCATGATTTATTCCTTAATTTAAAAAGAATTATATCTTTAATTTATGTTTTCTACCGATATAGAATCCTTATTATTGGAAGTGAAGACTTCTTTAGTTAAATTTTCTTCATTCTTAAGATATGTGATTGCGTCATTGAATGAAGCCTGCAATTTATATCCGGCTTATTTCAATATTTTTTTTATCAGTTTAATATTAGCACTTGTTCCCCTACAATTGGGAATATAGGTTCAAGCTGATATGCTACTGATGTGGATGGCAGATCATTTCGTTCTGTTACTGGATCTGTATTTTTCTCAACCTTGGAGGATGGAAAAATTGTGAAAGGTCTCTCTGGTGTTCCAGATGAAGGTCCTGTCTTATATGTTGGTTATCACATGCTCTTGGGGTTAGAGCTTATCTCACTTATAGACGAATTTTTAAGTGAGAAGGGTATTGCGCTTCGTGGAATAGCCCATCCTGAGCTGTTTATGCCTAAAGTGGAGAGTATGTCTTCTGAGTTTTCTATGTTTGATTGGGTGAAGATATTTGGTGGGGTGCCTGTTTCAGCAAGCAATCTTTTTAGATTACTTTCAACAAAATCACATGTTCTCCTATATCCCGGTGGTGCGCGTGAGGCTCTCCATTATAAGGTACATCAAGATTTATTGTTTCATCTAGGCTTCTTATCTAACAACAAAAAGAAAGACTCAGGTTTTCTTGTGCAGTATTTATGATTCAGTTATTTTATGCTCACATTTTTAAAACATAAAATTGATGTTTTCGTTAGGATATAAATAAAATCTCACATCGTTAGAAAAGAGAGAGAAATATGGATTTATAAATCACACTGTCTCCATTGGCTTTAGACCTTTTGGGTGATAATTAAAAACAAAATTTTAAGAGTATAAGCCTAAAATGGATGATATCATACTAATGTATAAACATGTGTGAATTTCCAATGCACAATAACATATCATACTCCTTGAAAAATATATCTCTACAAAACAACCCATCAATTTTCATGTCCTAATATTATATTTTACACATTTTTGTGGTAATAGATATTTAAATATAAAACTTGTTGGGTAAGATCTTTATTGATTAGATATCCTAAATTTTAGGTTTGTTGTAAAAGCTAAGTTATCTCGTACAACACCCTATCATCAAAATTTATATCCAGTTCTTTGTATGTAGATTATAAGACCAGTGCGAGAAAGGGAAATTGGTAAGTAAGTTAAGATGCAAAATAGAAATTAAGTTTCATTTCATTTTTCAGGAACAACCATGCCATGCATAAAACATTTAATAGAGATTACAGGCTTCTACCAACACACCCGTTTTAATACTTTTTTTTTTCTCTGCCACTATTTGAAAATAAGTCCAGAATGCACCTCAACTTTGCACTACTTTTTTCGTTTATGTTGATTTATCTTGCTTGTCAAGGTCTGGTATCAGCTCTGGTTGTTATGTGCTGATGGTTCTATTTTCTGCTATAACGCTGACCTTGCTTGATAATTGCTAGGGGGAAGAATACAAGTTGATTTGGCCTGATCATCCAGAATTTGTGAGAATGGCAGCACGATTTGGTGCTACAATTGTGCCATTCGGAGCTGTAGGCGAAGATGATATAGCTGATGTAGGTTTCTTCTTTCTCTAACGGTATTTTTTTTTTTTTTTGGGTACTGGTCTTTACTTTTTTAACCATAATAATTTACAGTTATAGACTATCCATTCTGCTTGAGTCAAGTGATATATCATTTAATAGATAAAACATGAAAGTCCTTGCTATAGTAATTTTAATCTCTTCGTGAGTATAAAATTAAAATATAATGTGCTTGATTTTCAGCCGATAACATTCAATTTATAAGTGGAGTTAGTGGCATAGTAAATAGGAGGTATATACTTTTCTACTGAGATTTTTTTTTAATCTGTTGGGAATGCTCATTTTAAATGTTAACTTTAAGTTGAATAATGAAAATAGCTGGGGTGGAGAGAGGAATGAGAAGAAAATAGCTGCTCATTTTTCATTGATTAATTGTACTTGCCTTTTGACTGGACTTTCCTGCTTGATTTTTACAGTTCGTTCTTGACTACAATGACTTAATGAAGATCCCCATAGTTAACGATCACATCAGAAATATGAATCGTGACTCAGTTAATTTTAGGTAATTATTCACCTTCTCAATAATGTTTAGAGTAAATTATACTGAAATCTCATGAAGTTTCCTGAAATTGCAAAAACCCTTCTGATTTTCTCTACTATTACATAAATCCTGTTTGAAAAACATTACGCTTATTAGACATTACATTAATTTTCTTAATTATTTAAAAAATATTACACTGTGATCTTCTGTGAGGGAGGTTATTGTAAAGTGTAACCTTAAAATATAAGGACTGTCAGTACAACTTCACAAATCTTAAGAATTGTTGTATATTTTATTCTAGTGTTTATTACATATTGCGTGACTCGTTCATTAAAACAAACTAATGAATAAGATATAGGCCCATATAGCTTATCCAAACTATGGACTTCTAATTCCCAAGCCACTTGTGTGTTTGTACTTTGTTGATATCCAGAGATGAAACAAGTGGTGAGGTAGCAAACCAAAATCTCTCTTTTCCGGTGCTTCTACCCAAAATACCAGGTCGATTTTACTATCTATTTGGGAAGCCTGTAAGAACAAAAGGCATGGATAAGATGCTGAAAGACAGAGAAATTGCCAACAAAATGTACCTGCAGATTAAGTCAGAAGTTGAAAGCAATTTACATTACTTGCTCAAAAAGAGGGAGGAGGATCCATACAGGAATATCGTCGATAGGAAAATATATCAGATATTCTATCCTCCTGAAACTGATCCAAGCCCATCATTTAAGCCCTGAAAAATGTTGATAAATAATACTGATTTTTATGTAATCATAAATTATTTTTAAACAGATACATGTACATGATCATCAAATTTAGTATATATCATTTTTATGTAATCATAACTATTTTTAGACAGATGTACCAAAGAGGGTGCAAACACAAGCGAGGCAAAATGGCTTCCAAAATCAACTTGAGTATATATCATTTGGTTACTATTTCTCAATGGTCATTTTCAATTTTTCATCCATGTTTTCTTTTCTGGATACATGCCCATTGGAAGGAAGCGTTGATTTCACTAATCCCTCAGATGTCAGATTCCCCTGATTCAATGCTTTTTATAAAAAATATTTCTTAAGTAGAAAAACATCACAGAAAGCTTGCAACCCTGGATCACAAATGTTTTCACTAACCCCTGTAATGTTCAAATGTGTCACAACACCATTCTCAATTTGCTTCTTGTTGGACCCTGGTTCTGAACACAGACCTACATTTAATATGGCCATATGGATTACATCCTCCACTTTATTTATTTATTTTACATTATCAACCAATTATTGACAATTTAAATGCAGTTATATTAAATAGTTGAAATAAGAGTTTGTATTAAATAGTCAAAATGAGAGTTTTATTGTCTATATTGGTCTTTTTCTACTCGAAAAGAATTGTCTCAAGTAGAGAATAAATGTTGTCTACACAAAAAAAAAAAAAAAAAAAAA